ATCTCTGGAGATCTGGATGTGGTTCAGGCTTCCACCTATAGTCTTATGTATTGCAGAGGCTCCGCAGAAAGCCTCCTTCACTGGGCACATTGTAGGTATTCCAATCAGTTAACTACTCCGCTGCTTTTGCTACAAAACATCCACCTTTATATTTCCAACCCTGATAGTAATTATTCATTATTGTACCACATGAGTGTTCATCCACCCCTCCCAGACAGATTGGATACTACTCAGTGGAGATTCTACCTTCCTCTGTGCTTTCTGTCTGGATCTAGGCTCCCTCTTAAAAGCTTGTAAGCCAGTCACTTTTTGCCTTTGTACCGCCCCCCCGCCCCCACCATTTTGGGTAGCCAGTGTCCAAGTTGCCCATCCCTGTCTACCCTGTGTATTGAAAGGGTGGGAATGATCCTCACTCTAAAGATTTGTTCCCTCTTTTGAGCTATTGCAACCATAGGTGTAGGTCAAGTTCATCAAATTGTATCAGATTACTCTTTTTTTCCTCTTCTTTCTTCTTCTAGTTGAGCTCTGATCATCCAGCCATTGAAGCCAGGTCAAGTGGGTATTATCTGTAAGTGTGGGTGTTCTTATGCATATTTCCTCTCTTCTTATCAGCTGGATGCTTCATTCTCCACTCTAGTCCTCTGTGGCTATGTTACTGACTCTGGGCCCGAGAGTCCCCAGGTCTTGCTATACTGCTGGCCAACCAGGTCTCCACCCGGGTTCACAGGAGTCTACTGAACATGGTTGGACTTAGCTCGCAGCGTCATTGCTGTTTTCCCCTCACTTCCCCTTATCAGTGACCAACGTGGTCACCAGTCAGAGCACGTGTCTGCTCGTGTATTCCCACTGAGTCTCAGTCTTGGAAGGGGGTTTGACCTGAGGGGTCCCAACCACTTGCCTTGATGTGTCCTGGGCAAACAACTTGCTTGTTCTTGTAAGGAGTCAGTCTGACTATTGTTTTGTATTTTTCCTGTTGGTCTTTCTTTCAAGAAGTATCTTCTGTTATAGCCATTCCAGGCTGGTCTGCTTGTCCTTTCAAGTGGAAATTTCCCACCCCAGAAAATTCTGGATGGGGTTCAGGATTCCACCTATGGTCTTATGTAATGCAGACGCTCCGCAGGAAGCCTCCTTCACTGAGCACGCTGTAGCCTCATTTTAGGTATTCCAATCAGTTATAGGCAGAAGATGGACTTACAAGCTTTCTATGGTGATATTTCTGGCTATCCCTTTCTCTCCCCCCTCAAGTGTCTATTTTATAATGGTATGCCAGGGAAACCAAGATTCAAAAAGATAGTCAAGCATCTTAACATTATTTCCCCCCTTTTGCCCATTCCAACCATGTCTCAATTTCCAGAGCCCTGTTGTTCCAAGGTTGTACATACATCATTACTTACCTTTAGCCCATGCAAACCTGCTGAATTGTTTTCCTTTATCTGAGAGTGTCTTGATTATTTCCTTCATTCCTGAAGGGTTGTGTGTGCTAGGAAACGATCGTGCAGTATCCTTCCATGAGCTCTGGTGAGAAACCAGCTGTTCATAGAATTGTTTCCTTCTTGATTTTTCCTTTCTTTAGCTTTAAGTTGTTTGACTGTGATGTGTGTTGATGTGAATTTCTTTGGGCTTATCTGTGTGAGTTTAATTCTGCTCCTTGAATTTGTAGGTTTCTGTGTTTCAACAAATTTGGAAAGTTTCCTGCCATTTTTAAGAGTACTTCTTCACTGACACAAAAGCTAACTCTTTTCATCCCAGATGACATTGGCTGTTTTTTCTCAGGTGTTCAGACTGGGTCACTTCACTACTTCAACTTTCAAGTTCACTACTTCTTCCGTCCCTTCCATTCTGTTGTTGAACCCACCCATTGAGTCTTTTCAATAATTATATTATTTCATTTGTTTCAAACGTATTTGTAATTTGTCAGTGAGGTCTCTTTAGGATAACTGCTTAATAATCATTTTCAGGTCTTTCTTTCTTGGTGTCTTGGCACAGGCAGCTATTGGTTGTCTTTTTTTTTTTCCTTCACATTTCAGATTCCGGGAGTCACGAGGGATTTTTCTATTCAAATCTGGGTAGTGTGGGTCTGAGACTTTGTACCTTACTGAAGCCTTCTGTTTCTGTCGGCTGCTTCTGACTCTGGTACAACAGGTGAGGGTGGCCCTTGAGTTGTCCACTTCTGCTCGTCTGCTCAGTCCAGTGCTTTGCAGCCTGCATGCATATTCATCTAGAGATTCCCTGTTACAGGGAGTTGAGAGGCAAGTCCCAGCGTTAATTCAGGATGCTTCTCAAAATGACCAATTTTTAAATAATTAAATTTTAGTATTTTTCCTTAAGGTGTTACTGAAATCGAATTTAACATGAAAAATACACAGTGGTCGGTAATTAGAGGCAGCTATGGACTGATGGATTGCTTGCCTCTGTTACAGGACTTTAAAATGATAAATAAGGAGTTGACAGCAACTAAATTTGTGGAAGTCATCGCAGAGGACAATCCTTTCATACACGATGGAGTTGACAGCAACTTTGAACTTGAGGTTTGTAAAGAAGCATCACAAATGACGGGGATCCAATCCAGGCTTGTTTGTTCTGATACCAAAGTCCACAATTTTAACAGAACGTGTATATATGCACACTGTACTTTTAAACAAATAATGAATACCTTCAACAGTTGGTTCCTAATTGCGTCCTTCCACCAGTGAGGTGTTTTTATAAGCACAGCTATGCCAACTTTTTTTTTTTAATGTGTTATAAAAAATTAGCGTAACTTGCTTATGAAAACACCTCAAGGGAGGGGGCGCGAGTGAGTGAGTGGTTGGCAAACAAAGAAGATGTGTTTAATTTGCAATAAAACAAATACAGTGTGTATATATGAAGGGGCTTCAAAAAGTTAGTGTAAAAATGGATTTAAAATGAAACTTTTTGAAGCCCTCTTGATTATATCAGAAAACTAGAGATTGATGTTAAAAGGAATAGATGTGGGAAATAATGAGGTCACAAGAATACTGAAGTGCAATCCTATTTCTTTGTGTTTTCCTGTGGTATTTTCATAGATGTCATGTACCTGTCACTCAGCTCCTTCTCAATGAATCAGCCATATTGTGTCTCTGAGTTTTTGTTTCTCCTACTTACCGTAGCCTAGTGGTTATGAATTGGGTTACTAACCTCAAGGTCAGCAGTTCAAAACTACCAGCTGTTTTGCAGGAGAAAGATGAAGCTTTCTGCTCCCGTAAAGATTTACAGCCTCGGAAACCCTATGCAGGGTCACTGTGAGTCAGAACCGACTCTGTGGCACACCACCAGCACTACTTAGAGACCTTGAGCAAGTCAGGCTCCCTGGGATTCAGTGGTTTAATTTGCAAAATGAAGTGGGACAACTAGTTCAGCTCTTGGTTTTTAGCAGACTATTCTGAGTGTCTGGAGTCCTGGTGTGGCGCTGTGGATTAATGTGCCGGACTGCAAAATTGGTATCAATCAAAAAGTTGGCAGTTCAAACTCACCAGTCTCTCACTGGAAAACCTGTATAGGTCGCTATGGGTCGGAATCAACACTTAACAACAACATTCTGAGTGTCTTGCTTTCTGCAGGCTGTCCTTGAAATATTCAGAGGGTGCCACTTGGGGTCAAGAAACAAATGCCCATTCTGGTTAACCATGAAATAATGTCAGATCCTGACACCTTGCATGAGCTCCATTTCATGCACCCCAAAGTCAAAACTGAAAGCTCTGGTTAAATCTTACCAACTCTCCCTGCTGCTTCCACCCATGCAGCTGAAAATGGCAGGAGAAACACATGGCCGACGCCTCTGTCTAGTTGTTAAAAAGAAGCCAGAATGCCAACACTTGGTCTCAGGTACTTTGGGCATAGCCAATCGTGGTCCCCACCTATAACATGATAGTTAGTAGAGGGAAGGGTCAGTGAAAACAAGAAAAACCATCAATGAAATGGATTTGACACAGCGGCGGCAACAATGGTATCAAACAGCTACGACTGTGTGGATGGCGTAGGACTGGGTACTTTTTGTTCTTTTGTACGTGGGGTTGTTATGAGTCAGAACCAATGCAACGCTGTCTGGTAACTGATTACATTTCCCTAGCCTGGCCATCTCCCACCTCCCATACGTGACTATTTCATTCTTTCTCTCTTCAAACCCTACCACCTCCTCTCCAATTCTCACTGAGAAAACTGATGCCATCCAAAGAATCTTTCCCAGACTTCCCCAGGCACATTTGCTAACCTTATACTTCCTAGTGTATAGTGTAGCAAATAAAACTTTAGAGCCTCCATCCTGCTTTCTCATCACTTGAGCTCAATTTCTCTGTCTTGTGAATAGATGCCAACATGCTCTCTCCCATCATCAAAACAAACACCTTGCCTATGTGCCCCAAAGACCTGAAAGCAGGGACTCACACAGATGTAGACCAGTGTTCACTGTAACACCAGTCACAAAAGACACCGTGGAAGTAACCCAAGTGTCTATCAACAGAGGGAAGGGACAGACAAACAGAGGCTTTCCACACAGTGGTTATTCAGCTACGTGGTGAGCCTGAAGACATGCTAAGCACAGGAAGCTAGACACAAAAAGGACAAGGTGTGAAGCCAACTTATATGCAATAACTAAGATAGCCAAATGCACAGAGACCTGGGGTGGGAGGTTCATTACTTAGGGGACCCTGAATTTCCTGGAAATAGTGATTAATAGTTACACAACCTGGCAAATGTAGAATGTTGGAATAATGGTTGGCGTTATATTTTACTACAAAAATTAAAAGCAACCCTAACCAAATCCGTTCCCTGGCTCCACTTTGTTTCCTCTTTCTCTTCCCTCTTTGGAGCAAAACTTTTACAAAGACTTTAGAGATAAAAGCCACATAACAGCTATTCTGCGAAGATGACAGCATAAGCAGGTGGAGGATGTCCCCACCCCTCACACACACCAAGAACTCTGAAGGACTCAGAACCGGTGGGCAGAGGGGCCTACCCGGTGTTTTCTGCTCCCATACAGATTTACAGTCTCAAAAACCCTCTACGGGGTCACCACGAGTTGGAACTGACTCAATGGCACACCATCACTGATCATGTGGAAAAACAGAAGTTAAATGCTGTCGAGTCTGTTCTGACTCATAGCGACTCTGTATAGGGTTTCTGAGAACTAAGTGATAACACAGAGAACCAAACTAGAGGATGTAAGAGAAAAGATAAGTCATTTTCTTCTCAAACTTTGGAGGCCAAAAGGCTGTGCAATGACTTAAAGTGCTGAAAAAAAAAAAACCTGTCAATTAAGGATACCATATCTGACGCAACGTTTCTTCAAAAACGAGGACAAAATTAAGACATTCTCAGATAAACAAAGATAAACAAAAGCACAGAATTTTACCATTAGACCTGCCTTAGCACTGTAGGATAAGCACTATAGGACAAGCAGAAGGTTGGTGGTTCAAACTCACCAGCTGCTCCTTGGAAACCCTACACAGGGTCATTCTATGAGTCTTAACCGACTCCACGGCGTTTTACAACAGACATGCCACTAGAAACGCTAAAGGAGTCGTTCAGAAGAGAAAGAAAGGGACACTAGACAGTAACTCAAAGTAAGATACAGGAAAATGAAAACGAGAGATTTCCATGAAGCATAATTGTGAGGGCAAGTGCAATGATTGGAAGGTATCTTTGGTAATTCGAAGGGCTTTGTCCTTCATACTTTGCAATGACAAAAGTATAAATCTATGTCATAGGGATATGATCTACAAAGATGTACCAATAATAACTACATAAACCGGGGGAGAAAGCAAAGGTGTGAGCAACAGGTTAAGGATAGTTTTTGTATATTATTGAAGTTAAATTGGTATCAGTTCATTCCAAGTTGTTACAAATGTAAGATGTTAAATACAGTACTTAACCACAAAGAAAATGCCTAAAAACTGCACACAAATGGAGAATAGAATCAAAATGGCTCGCTACACAAATTCAACAAAAGTTAGTAGTATTAGAAAAATTAAGGTATAAAGAGCATATGTTAAGTAATCCGACTCATAGTGACCCTGATACAGGATTTCCAAGGAGCAGATGGTGGGTTGGAACTGCTGACCTTGTGGTTCACTGTCCAGTGCTGATCCTACCGCTCCAGAGCGCCAGACCAGGAGTCTAAAGAGGGTCTAAGACACACAAAAAAATAATGGTAGCAGTAATTCTGTTTATTGCCAGTAATTACCATGAGTGTAAATGTACTAAATGCTCATATCAAAGTGTAGAGTGGTAGATGGATTTAAAAACCACAATTCCAATTATATGGTGCTCTATAAGAGACACAAATAGGCTGAAAAATGAAAGGATGGAAAACAAATTTCACCCAGTCATTGTTGTGAAGTGCCATCGAGTTGTTTCTCACCCATAGCGACCCTGTATAGGGTTTCCGAGGAGCAGCTGGTGAGCTTTAACAGCTACCTTGCAGTTCAAACGGCTTTGCAGTCTGGTGCAGTAACCCACAGCGCCACACCAGGACTCCAGTAGTAGTCACCAGTAAACAGCTGGGGTCCTGATTATCAGCTGATAGAAAATTTAGCTTAAAATCTAAGACACAAGAAGTATGGATACATAGGACCATCAAGGGAGAAGAGCACAAGCGGAATGCAGGACCTTATTCAGAGAAGCAGCGACACCAGACATGGAGGCAGAGATGATGATGTGGAGAAAGGGATCAGCTGAGGTCTCTAGATTCACGGAAAGAGAGGGAACTGAGAGTTGGCAGCCAGGAGGCAGACTTGCAGAATGTGCCCTTTTGTTGTTAATTATTATATATTCCTGAATGTGTTTGTGTACATCTCCCCACCCCCCAAAAAAAGAGAAACACAGAGAATGGAAGCAAATACTGTTGAATGATGATGCATGGAGGAGATAACACTGCAATGAAATGATGGTGTAAAGCCGATGTTCTCCCATGTCAACTATCACTCAATTCACAATAGAAAAAAGTATGTGATACAATGATAAAAAGATTAATGCATCTCACATTAGACACCTCTAAATACAAATACAAGGGGGGTTCAAAAAGTTCATGGACAGATTCCATTCTTCTATGAATTTTTTAAAGCCCTCTCACACATAAAGCAGAGACAGATACAAAAAAAAGAGCTAGGCAGCTCTGTAACAGCGCTCTGGGAGTCCTGGTGTGGCACTGTAAGATAAGCACTAGATTGCTTATCGCAAGGTCAACTGTTCAAACCTACCAGCCACTCCTTGGAAACCCTAAACTTGGAAACCCTAAACTGGGTTGCTATGAGTCAGAACCAACTTGACAGCACTTAACAACATCATGATAATGGAGTCACGGTGTGGTGCTGTCGGATCAGCACTGAACTGCTAACCACGAAATCAGTGGCTCAAACCCACCAGGCGCTCCTCGGAAACTCAACACAGGGTCACTATGAGCCAGAACGGACTTGCTGGCACTTAACATAATAGCTGGCGACTTTAATACACCACTTCCAATAGTAGATGGAACATCGAGATAAATGGGAAGAGAGAACTTGAACGACATTAT